GTGGGTGGGTGGGTCGGTAGGTGATCTGAGGCACAGGTAGGTGGATAAGCATGGCGAAAGCCAGATGTTCAAGCTTGAGCGAATCAGCCATGGTAAGAAAAGGCCGAGACCAGGTGCTCTGCACAGCACCACCGCAATCAGAAGCACCACGATCACCAGCACCAACCACAAACAGCACCAGCACCAGCACCAGAGCACCCCCACACCAAGAACAGCACCACCACCGCCACCGAGATCATGAGCATCATGATCATGTTTACGCCCACGATCATGATGATGATGACGACGGCAAACGACGATGACAGTGATGAGTATGATGGCTATCAGCACCTTCTGAGGTCAGCCCAAGTATCAATCCAGGGTCATACTGAAGCTATATCATCAGAAGTCGGCTTTAACTCGAGTAGCAGGTCGAGCTATGCACTGAGCACAAGGCACGTCGGCGAATCTGTGATGAAAAGAGCGATTGCGATTGCTCACCCGGAAATGCTGGACTTCCAGGCGGCATCAATCTCCCCCGGCTTCCGCAGCGGTTGACCCAGCCCAAAATCGTGGTCGATCCTTTTTGGCCAAAGGAGGGCAGTCACGGTCTGCATCTCTGAATTGGCCTGCACAGATCATCGGTACGAGTCTGGCTTGTAGTAATTAATTATTCAGTAGGTGCATCCATATTTTCGTTTCTGCTCTATGCTCAGTCTTTCCACCAGCCTGACGAGAACGGCTTGCTTTGCGAACGAATCAGCATCGGCATCCCACACAGCCTTGGATGCGCAAAAACTGTCAATCAAGTTTTTTGCATCTGTTAGCCACAGAACCTCAAATTTTCGTGCACTTGGTCTCAGCCGCACACCCACTGCTGCGGCTTTGGATCGCCATTTGCGGCCTCGCAGCGGGCAGCTCGGTAATCCAAACTACATGCTCTTGAACAAGTTGCCAAACACTGCGTCGCATGTGACAGAAAGTGCATGCTTGGTTCGGGACGCAGCCCCATGGAGGGTCATCGCGACCTGCGGTCCAGAAAGGGCTACAGCTGATTTTCCATGCCTTTGAGGGTTCCAACGTCATTTTTGAGGGCGGTGCGGCCGTCGAAAAAGGCAGTGCAAGCACCTGCGGTACAAGACTGACCCAGGTCAGTCTGTGAAAGACTGAGCGACCAAGAAACCACACATCCTGCACAGCTCAACGCGCCGGCCTTTCTCGCTGAGTGCACCGGCGATTTTCCAATCACTGAAGAATCGGCTCCAGAACAAGTAGAAGCCTTGGAACAGTCTTCGAAGGAACAGTAGTGAAAGCTGAACTCCTCCGAGGTCTCAGCGGAATTGGGTGTGGGCAAAAGCCGGTGCAGCCTCGTGCAGGCGAAAGCCAAATGCATGAACCAAAAACTGAGTTGGGCGGCGACGTTGTAATCGATGGTGCGATAGTAAAAGCCTCGGCCATCGAGGCTTTCGCTTTCCCGATCGAGGTGGCAGCCCTGCTGATTAAAGAAACGCAGCACATGTTGTTAGCGGCACGCACGGATGCAGGCCGCTTCTACGAGCACTGTCGGAGCCTAGACCGGCCAGAAAGCAGAGTGTCTGTCTGGCTCTCTGCAAGGCTTGGGTTGTCTTGACTGCGAACAACCCTGTATTCGCGAATCCCGCGGGGGCCAATGTAAAGCTCCGACCCTTCGTTCCGTGACTGTACGCTCACACGCCTCAACAGAATTTAGAAATCGACAACGGCCAGAAAGTGTGAGGCGAGACACCGCAGAATGCTAAGCCCGGGCGTTCGCGCCACGGGCCACGACCTGCAAGGATGTATACTTTCCGGCAATTTACTGCTTAGGGGCCTGTTCTTTATTGATGCATTTGCCCCACTACTCTTGTTGCTGGACTCCCACTCCTACTCCTGCTATCTCCTGCTCCTACCTACCCCTACATCTGCTCCTGCTCCTGCTCCTACCACTAAGACTACGACGACGACGGCGGCGACGACGAC